AAGGGGGCTAATTCGAAGTACAAAAGTGGCGCCTCACCGGAACCGAGGGATAAACCACCATCGTATTACACTGGTAGTGCCTGGCCTATTAACATTTTAAAAAGCCTTGCGCAATTGTGGGTGCCTGATCCGCCTTCGGCTATAATATAAATAAGAATTTCTGACAGAATAAAATGTGATGGTTGGTTTAATTTTCGTTAGTAGAATAAACCATTTCTCCAGTAGCGTCTTCTGTTACTTTTTGCTAAAAACCATTTGCTACGCCATCAAGTCTTTTCCGAATTAGTGATTTTCCACACTGGATGCACAGGAAGGTTTTGCAGCCTCTTTAGACTCCCTTGAAGATGAAAGAAGCCGTAATCCTGGGGCAGAATTTGCATTATCATCATACAGAAATTACTAGGGCTACTGGTATAGGCCGAAGGCCAGCCCATCCGAGGAGGCACACAGTGGCCAAGTCAAAAGTGACTTTTCACCGAAACTGGTAGGTAAACAGCCATCGTATTACCGCTTATTATTAATATATGGAACAGTTGAACAATTGTAGTTGTGCAGCTTTGGATCTTCTCCTAAGTCGTAACAAGGCGGGTTACCATCAAGAACATGTATTACAAACCTATAAAAGAGCTAAAAGTCTGCTACAATGACCTGAATTTTCACACCGTAGGGCTGATCTACGATCTGCTCAGTCTTGTGGATCCGCATCGTTTAAGAAAATAGTAAATTTTTACGTAGGCTGGACCAAAGCCAATACAGTCAATCTGTAGTAAAAATTGCGGTGCTATATGTAAGACAATAATGGCCTCGCTTCATTGTGGCATGTCCAATTCAGTCTCATTGCACGATTTCGTAGGTTCACCATGAAACGAATGGCTATCACCTAAACCCTTTTCTGATTTTCAAATTCCTTGACTCCGTATTCATAATGAAATTATGAACATCGACTCCTCAACAGTGATTAATTCCACGGGATTATGGGTCAACTGAACATGCTCTTCCAAACATCTTTTGGGATAGAGATTATTAATTAGGTGAAAATGTTTTTGTGAATTGGATTTCACAACTGAAAAATTTTCGACAAAGAGCTTAATACTCAATAAACTTGGCACTATTTCATTTAAATGAAGTTTCGAATATTGGGTGTTTATTGAGAATCTTTGGCTAGTGTCGTCTACCGAGACGACTGACGTACGGCAGATGGTAATCGTTACTTCATACTATTTATGTCCGCAGTCAGAAATTATGAGGTGGAGACTCGCGTAGCCTTCCTTCGCCAAATAGGTATCGGTAGGGTATCATTATCCCAGCAAAGAACTCGGCTTAATCATGAAAGCTGGATCATAAAGTGTGTATGCCATCGGGCCTTCAAATCCCAAAGTGAAATATCCAAAAACTTCCCCCTTTTTGGACATTAGAGAAGTGATATCAACCTCAGTAAATGAGATTAACCTTGCCCGCTTGTGGCTGTGCGCTCAGATTCTACAGTGATAATAAGTGGAAGAATATTGTTTCTCCAATAAATAAATTGCCAACAAAACGATGTACTGAATTCGATGTTGCAACGTACTGCATTTGCTCTAGCTTCAGTGCTGCCTAGACACATCCACCCGGATTCAGTCCAACAAGTAGAGAGCTGAAGGAGTTATCGCGTGCTCACTTAGTTGACATCTTCATTACAGCTACCGTAGGCAGTCCCGTAACTAGCTTTTTAGATGGTTTACGGCTAGTGTGACTTGCCTTCACAGCACGTGACCGGGTTGTTGCCGAAGGTGAAGGTCAGATCCAAACCCCCCTAGGGGTCGTCACATATTCTCGCTTCCACATCATATGTCCATCGTCCGTCATGTTAAGATTTAGTGGGCAATAATCGAAATCAGGTTAGTTGCCTCAGGTTCGAGTTCGCTTTCCTCTGCCACAAATACACCGCGACGAACCCACTATGCATACGAAGACGACATAACATTAGAGCAGATCATCCATCGTTGACGCATTATAGGGTATGATCGGGAGGCCTGAAGTGCCCTATAAACGCAAAACAAGAGTCGAACAAGTAATTAATGCATTGCAATTATAGTTAATGTTCCCATCAATCATGCAACAAAAGTTTTTAACGGGTGGTTAATTTCTACAATTGTTTGTCCCCCTTCTTTTTAATAAAGCGCCTCATAAGATCTACCCTTATAAAATACATTTTACTCGAGCTGGTAGTTAGATCACCGCACCGGACGAGATGGAGGAAGCAGCAATTAATATCATTCTATGGTAGAAGTGATATCCCAATTCTCATCCATGGTACATTTAATCGCTTCTGCCAAAAATGTGTGTGCTGCCCTGGGCATGCCATGTACCACTATTTCAACCACTTATTAACTCTAAGTGAGCATCGTCTAGGTGAAACATTCCCCCCGAAAACCCATTCACTTGATGCACCGTTACCTTGACTTTACTAAGATCACACAGACTTGATTTAATCCGCATACGAATTTGGAAAATTTTTTTCTATTTTACCATTCATCCCAATTTTTATAACACATGATTGTTGGAACTCTTACCTCCCCACGCAGGAGAAAAGGATATACAAGAACATTTGGTTGATTAGACTATTAGATATTTTAGACAGCAGTCTGACAGTCGCAATCCTAGGTTAGTGTGTCACTTTGACTTGCCGGATTGTGTCCGAGTCTTACCCACCGATAGGATTACCTCACTTTGTCACTTTTCCATGAAAGTGTTAAAAAAAGCATTTCAAAAATCCACTCGAATGCCTAAAAATGGTGTCATCAATGCGGCTTTCATATACCCAGACTGCTTGTGTTTTGATTCATAATTTCATATGAAAACATTAAATACCACACACATGAGAATGTAATGCTCTTTTTGCCACAAACCAGCACATATTCCTAAAAGGCATGATCCGAAGGTTCAGCCGCAGAGAGGGAGGCTCAAGTGCTTATGTAGTTTAATAAAGAGTTGAACAAAAACGTCGAATTACCACAGATATACCACTGAATGAAATGCAAGACTATACATAGTGGGGCCTATTATCGAGAAAATTTCTGCTGCCCTCGTAGTCAAAGGCTCTCGGACCGAACAAAGTTTCAGTTCGTTGGCCTGGTAAAGCGGGACTGCTTCAGTATTTGATTAAGTGTTGTGTGGCTTAGCCTACAAGTCAATGATCCATACGAGAAGGCTTTACGCCTACACTCTGTGAAGCTGTTAAAATTGGTCGACATGGGAAGTAGAAAGTGTCAAGGCTTGACAGTGGACAGCCCTTCCATTTGGTTCATCAACATGTAACATTACTCAGAGATGGTGCTTTTAAATCGCCTCATTTGATGACATTACAGGTTGCAGAGGAGCTACCCTCCCGTCTATGTAATAAATTTGTTAATTTGTTTCAGTCTTGGTATACCTAATTACTAGGAGCACCCCTCAGTGGACTTTTACAAAGTGGACAATTTTACCAGATCCATGAGGATCTCTTTTGGACACGTCGATGGTATTTGTGGTTCAGAAAACTACTGCCAGTTGAAAGAATAATGTTGTATCAAATCCTACATCCCGGCATGAATTCCAGTATTAATTTTAAGTACGATATCAAAAGTTAACTGAAATGCCATTTGGGATTTTCACAATAGTTATACAACTCCTTTTGGTCAGTAAAAGATCACTAAATTACTCTAAGCTTCTGATCCCATACCTGGAATGTGAACTAAAGCAGGCTCATTTACTCTAAACGAAGGCCTAAAAGGTGAAATACGATCATTGATAAGGTTGTAGTGATTTGAGGTCTTGTTTAGCTGTGTGTTCAACTGCGAGGTGGCTTCAGGTTCCGCAGGTTGTACTCCCGCTCTGCTACACAGCACTTGTATCATGCTCTCTGCGGTAGTAATGGTTGTTCTATAGTACTACTTAAGTTCATTGGTACTACCAAAGAGACTCGGGGCAGTACAGTAATAAAGTTTATTAGGACAAACTCACTTTGGCTGATGAGTAGTCTACAGCATTCCCAGTACTGTCTCAAGGAGCACTCGACAGGCGCGCGGACAAATTTCGACAAGAAGTAAAAATATTTTGTGGTTACCTTCATAAACTCGAGATTTAAGGTGACATCACCAGTTATTTGTCTTCTGTAAGACCGAAAAAGAGAATGTATAGGTTGCATGAAAAGTCTATGAATACTGGATACCTAAGCATTCATTCGGCATCATAAATTTGCTGCTCGGATGGCTATCTTCATCAAAATTTGGATTCTTCAATAATACATTCATTTAAGAATAACCAGACAGGGAGTCTGGTTGTAAAGTTGCTTTATAGTAGGCCAGTTAAAAAGAAGAATTCCATTGATAAATCTAGCAACAGATAAGCTGGTATGCTTTTAGCGCGCGTCAGTAGTTAAAACGAGATCACAACTGAAGCTGAAATGGCCCTAAATGGCAGTGAAAATAAAGTCCACAAGACGCCCCTTAGGATATAACGAAGAGTGACAAAAGCCCACTGATAGGGTAAAGTGGAGAATATGTAGTCTCAAATGAAACAGAGTTTAACATTAATATTGATGAGGAATCCATAGAATGCCATCATGCACGATGCACAGGGGCTTAAAAGATAAGCAAATTTTAAGTACGTCTATATCGTCCAAAATCCGATGTCTACTTAACAGTTTACGGGCAAGGGAAAATTCAATTCTGACATTGTAGGCAAGTCGACTTTGTCTTTCGTTGATGAAGGAAGGTGTCACCTTAATAATGTTCCATTCAAAAGACGGCACTTTCTGGTATAACATTTCAATCATTCATTTAGCTCTTCGTTTTGGATTCCCCGGGATTTAAGTATCCGCGCTTGTACTTCTGCTAGGCGGCACGCTCTTGTCCAATGCTAGTAGCCCCCCAGCACTTCCATGCGGCGGAATTACATATTCTGCCCTAGTATTGTGACTTCCTTTGTCTTCAGAAAAGACTCGGGGTAATGAGCTGATGGCAGTGGAAAGCGAACCCGATCCCAAAGGATTGCTAATTCAATTTTCATGCCTATATACCGAGTCCTAACGTGACATAAAAAGGCCATATGCTGCAGATGAAAGAATCAGTCACGACCCCTAACAGAAGATCCGAAAATGAGGTTTACCCTCGACAACTACCTTAGCCCAATGTTCTGCAAGGGTGCTATTAACAACTGAAGCAACACTATTTGTGAACAACCTTGAAAGTTTGCTATGGAGCTGCTTACCGTACCAGCATAAGAACATTAAAACCGTAAAAATATGATACTCCCTCCACCTCTCTACTAGCTTGATTGAACTCAGGTAGACACGGTTGGACAGCTCTAGAAGGAGAACAATGTGGTAAAGAGGAATAGACGCAAAGCCCTACACCGATAAATCTTTATTAAAATTCTGTCCTCTGCTACATGACTCCACTTGTAGGCCAGTGTCCGCACAACTAGCTATGGACACGTGTGATAAATAACATTCTCCCGTGCTCGAATCCCATCCCCATACAGGACGAAATTCCAGACCCAGTGGAATAGCCAGGAGAGATTAAGGAGGGGTAGTGGAGCTAGGAAAAGTGCTGGTTGTATATTTGGCTCTCGCTTATAGTAAGAGGCTACTTTAATGCTATCCTATTGAACTCTCGCCATGTGGACTAACCTCCGAGCCATGCCAGCAGCCCCAGTCCCTCTTTTATGAGAAAGGCACATATTCTCGAGATTATTGTGTTTTATTCCATCTATGGAAAAGTTTCGGTGCACTAAGCTAGTGTCGTGATTTCCTTCGTCCTCAAGAAAGACTTGGGGCTCTACAGTAACAGTAATAATATTACAATGTACAGCGTATTATTAAAAATATTCCACATTCGGTTCCAAGAAAAAAAAACAACAAAAATTCATTGGTAAAACTAAGGCCAAATGTAACGATTTTAAGTTCAAGTTTTTGGGCTTATAAAACTTGCATTATGCAAAACAAAATGAAAACAAAAACGCCTTTCCATATTCGGCTAAATTATAAAAAGGACAGGAAGGTAAAACCTAAACACTTAAGTTACACATATCATGTAGTAGGCAATCCACTTCAATTGATAACACATTGCTTAAAACACAGCAGCAATGGCATTTTAAAGCTGTACAGGCTTTATCTAATGCAGTGTTTTAACTAGAAAATTGTGCTTTTTACGAACTGAAGAACAAAGGTTGAGGATTATTTAATTCTGATGGCTTAAGGCCACACACTATTTAAATCAGCACCTTAGTTGCAAACTGCATTCAAATACATTTTCAAGCGACAAATTTAATTCATCTGTTCGAGGTGATAATTATTGTTCGTCGGGGCGAAATTTGTGTTAGTACTACTCAATTGTCGAATCACACCGGCTCCTTCACCAACCCGGGCGTTCTTAATCATCGTATTCCTCACCGGTCTCTTATCATGTACAATCAGCCTTGTAATATACCAGCTTTTCTAAACAAACTGACGTCGCTTGTTGATGACCCCAATACGGATGATCTTATATACTGGGACTCTGTAAGGCAATATTAGTGCGCATATTTGTATAGAGCGGTAGAAGCTTTCATATTCGCGATGGAAATCGACTGGCGAAGGATGTTTTGCCAATGCTCTTCAAACACAATAATTTGTCCAGTTTTATAAGGCAACTGAATATGTGTAAGATGGGGTTCAACTCATTATTTTCCAGATGGGTTCAAAAAAGTTAATCGAGCGGATTCCGTCAGTGGGTTTGCTTCCGATGCTGAAGATATGGAATTCAGCCATCCATATTTTCAGCGGAATAATGTCAACTTACTGAGCAAAATTCGCAGAAAGCCTCCTAGTTACAACTTTGCGGCGAACTTTTTGAATAGTAACCTCCCCTTCAATTCACCTGTTAATATCAACTCTGTCTGCGATCAAATTGCTGCCAATGGTGGTAACAGGCTTGTTCTTGGGAGCGAATTTAACCGCCTCTCTGAAGCCGTCCGTCAAATGAGATCCCGACAGGAGTCTACCACTCAACAAATGCACTTATTGCGCGCAGAAAATCAGTTTATGTATCGGCAGATTTCTCAGCTGCGAAATCAGCTTGAACAACAAGGGCAACTCATTCAAACGGTACTCCTTATCTTCATGTCGACAGTTTTTAGTTGTTCAATTTCCTCTCTGCTATTGCCTCAGATCGGCGGAACTCCGGGATAAGGATAGGTTCAGGCAAACGTAAACTTGCCCTGACGGGGGCACCCGCAGTTGATGGGATCCCGGCTTGTGTGGAATATAATCTGGATCCCACGACGCTACCAGAAAAAGCTCGTCTTGTACCTTCAAATTCCCAAATTAGACGGGTACTCTTCTCCCAGCCACAAACGACAATGTCCGCGGCATCCGGTACTTCTCGTTTTCCCCCTTTTGTTTTCAAAATAATAATTTTTCTACGTTCACAAAACTTTTCTTCTCTTCGTTAGGTACCTCTGAGGCAATATCGCGTTGTAACCCGTCACGCGTAGAAGTCTTAACTGTTCCTTCAAATACCACCGTTCTTTCCCAATCCGCACCCATTTTAGCTATTCAGGACGTGACGCCCGCCCGTAAGCGTTCACGGGCTAGCTCTGTCAACCAGCGACTCTTATCCGAGGCCGATTTTACGTGTAACCCACCAGATGGCATACCTTTTACACCTGATCTGCTCGATACTCTGGCCTCTGAGTCGTCCAATGATGTAACCGAAGAGATCATTACATCTAAGGTAGTTGTTCCTTAATCTATTCCCATAATCTCAGTCCTACCCTTCTTTTCTTACATTTCCCGCCTTGTTTATAGCCATTTGAAGAGGAAATACAATGTTTTGATGAGGGATTTGTACAGTCCGGCAAACTATCTCCTTTCGACTGTCATTTGTCTGACATCGAGCCCAGCATTTCATCCCCTGTTGTTGACCTATCCAGCACCTTTATCCAGGATGATGATCAGCCTGCACCTGAGATGGAATCCAAAACTGGTTCTGGTGGCAAATTACCCATCGAGCGCCGAAGGAAACCGCGGTCTGCTGCTGGTTCTAGAAGGAGGCCTCTCGTTCGTCGCTTCACAGTCCCAGCTCCTGACAAAAAGTGAGTACTTTCAAAGTTTGTGCTTGAAAAGCCAGCAGGCCTATGCATTTGACCTCTAATTGGTGACACTAGCCCCTCGCGTTTATCGGAATCTCCCATGTTGGCGAATGTTAATAGAGAAGAGAACACTTCACCGTACGTTCCTGATGGAGAGGATCTGCTGTCTTCCAATAGTCCTGTTCAAAAGGGTTTCAAAATCGCTGCATTAACAGATGTCGAAGAGAATTTCCCCTGGGATAGTGAAACAGACCAACCAGGTTGGTGCAAGACTGTCATGGTTTCCACTTTTTCACCCTATGTATGCGATTTTTCATTCCTATCAATCTGTTCCTCTGCCTTGCTTAGTGGATGGGTCTCTGATAAATGACATCGTATCCATGGATCAGCAAGAGGAGAGTGGCCGCGGAGTTTCTGGAGCTGGCGATAGAAGCATGGATGACGTCGTTGCAAATTTCATGTTGTCACCATCGCTGGGACAGACTGATCAGAACGACCTTTTTGAAAATTTTTTTGCTGTCTCGCCTCTCAAATCTCTTACTCCCTCTTTGGCCTCCCCCGACCGTGATATCAACGATATTGTCTCCAATCCTTAACGCAACATTCGGCTTGGTAGGCAAATTATCTTATAGGTTACCCAATGTGAGGAATTCGTGCCTACTGGCACTATTCACGTGTTCGAGGTCAAGGCAACGTCAGTAATAACAGTTCAATTTAATCTGTCACTAGTTGTCTTTAATGAGTATGGTATTTTGTTCGTTCAAGCAGATGTTTTACCGGCACCCTAGACGCTTATTACTGGATCTCAATTATACCAGTTTCTTTTATAGGTTAATGTTTGCATTTCCGGATATCTGTACATACAGGATACTTGTATCCTAGACCATCTGGAAGGGCCGATTTCAGTTAAACTTCCTGGTTCTTCTTCTTCAGTCACTGAATCTCAGGTTTCATTTTGCGCTATTTATCGGCTGTTGGTCATCACAAATTGTACACCTTGGAATATACGCACTTGTCTATTTTAGCACATTATAAATATGTTTTTGGGCATTCATTTACAACCCTTTTTTGTTTTTAGTAGAATTGACAAGTTCAGATTTTGTGTTTGCTTTTTGATTTATTTAGGACAGGTTAAAACAATGCTGGGATCTACTAACGATGTGCGTATTAATTTTTGTTCCTAGACTGCGATTTTGTTGTGGTGGGGCGTTTTGGCTCGAAAGGCCGATGAGCTTCTTGGGTGTATGATCTGATTCAGCTACTTTCATTATCTCACAAGGGGGTGGCCCCTGAAGGATGCAAATTAGCCTGAGATGTTTCGACAAGCTTGGCTGTGGCGAGTTTTGGCGCTCGGCGTCCAAGTCAATTAAGTTTAAAGACGGCAGAACCGTCGTGCTGATGCTTGACTAACAGCCGCGGATTTTAATCTGCTCGAACCCGATTTGTACCGTCACTTCCGCCGGTAGGGGCAAGTTGAGCTACGCCGCAACTGGTTTGGGGTGTCCAGAGAATGCAGGGCCCGAGTGCTCGCTCGCACATTCATCTCAGTGTCACGGGAGGAAGTAATGTGGATTAAAATTCTGTAGTTGTTCATAAATTTATGGTTAGGGCATAAGGGCTTATTGCCGTCTCCCATTCATTGGGTCGGTGGGTGTTCGTCTGATTCGGCAGCCGCCTGGACGATCGTCCTCCAGCCATTTTTCACTGCCGCGATACGGTAGTGCGGGGCTTCTCATATATGAAGAATTTCAGGAGTAGTTTAAGCACGATAGGGGTGGGCGATTTCCGTCATTGTTCGAGCTGCTTGTACAGTACGAATTCTGTATCCACTATGACCTGTCCATTCAACATCACTTGATCTGGAGCATTACTGCACGTACAAGTTCAGTCGATGTAGCCATTCTGCCCTGAGAACTGGTCGATTAACATTGCCAAAACTCAACATGTGCATCGAAGTGTTGAAATCGATTTCAACATAGGGAGGTGATTTCAATTTATCCATAAATGTCTTTTTTTGAAATGACGTTGCAAAGAATATGCTCCGCTTGTCGCGTCCGCAAGCGGGGCAAATTTTTCCGCTAATGTTCATTATGTAAGATCAATATCCTAAAAGGGAAAATTGTAACTTCAATGCAAATAATTTAAGCGTAGTCCAAGGTCGTGGGAAGGTCGACCAAAGTCAGTACAATAACAGGTCTTTTGGGGTCGTAGGGCCTGCCTTGATTAGTCTTGCAGCTGGACACGAGCTAATGCCCTCGCAGCTAATAACCAATATTACCTCATTTCCAAAAATTTCAAGACTTACACGATCAAATGGAATTCGGTTTAGAAGATTGAGTACTGGTGCGGGCGCGAGCGTTACTGGCAATTCTGACGGAAGTAGGAGCACAAGTGAATCAACGGCTCGATTATCCTTTTACGCTGATACCGTGATTGGTGAAGAAGTATTGGATCAAAAGTATGAGGTACTGGTTAAGTAGTTTTATACTTTAAGGGTCTCGAATATGACACACCAGAGGTACCCGCTTTGAAAAAGGAGATGGCGACTCTAGCACATCAGGTTTCTTCATATTCAAGTGTAACCATGTCTTCTTTAGGGCAACTGGAGAATTATACTACTGCGTTTTGCATTATTATTTGCTATAGGATGCACTACCGGAGCGACTGCTAGTGTAATTGATTTTCTAACGACAACTATCTGTTCTATCAAATTTGCTATTATTCAATATCGTATCCTTTTAAATTAATTTAACTGTTTGGAGAAGTTTTTTACGTTTGTTCCTTAACGCTATGCCCTTGCAGTATTCGGTGAGCATTACGCTTCTTGGACTCTACTTATACCGGCGTTTGTTTGGGTCTTAATCAACTGTCTATTCATCCTCGTGGCTGTAGTTATGACCGTGTTTGTTGCAGTACGTCCTTTACAATTTGCTGCATCGTACGCTTCTTCAGGATTGCCTTCAATATTTTCTTTTTTAGCCAGTTGCCGCTGGAAGTGGTATCCCACAGATTAAATGCTATCTGAACGGCCTTAACGTTCCCTTCATCCTACGTGCGCGTACAATGATAGCTAAAGCCGTTGGTGTCATTTTGACGGTTTGTGGTGGCCTTTTAGTCGGTAAGGAGGGACCTATGGTACACATCGGATCTGTGGTTGCTGCTGGTTTCTCACAGGGTCGCATCACATGTTTTGGCCTCTCGCTTCGGAGCTTTCGCTGTTTTCGCAATGATGCAGAGAAACGCGACTTTGTCAGCGCTGGAGCGGCTGCTGGGGTTGCAGCGGCTTTCGGTGCACCTGTTGGTGGTCTACTTTTTACTCTAGAAGAGGGCGCCAGCTTCATCTTCCAACGATTGACCTGGAACACGGTTCGGCTACCCACCATGCTATTTACAGTTTTTAGTGTTGCACTTAAAGCCATAATAAGCATTTAACGCGGGAAAGTACTGAGGGACTGGCGATATAGCAGGAGATTGAAAGGGTTTGATTGGTTGAGTGTACATCTAAAGTGAATTACACTTTGTTAAACCCCGACTTTTTTATTCTGATAGCTTTTTGCGTCCATGGTTTCGATGTTCACGCTGGCGTTGTTTCGAAGCATTATCGACGGTCAGCCATTTAAGTTCACTCCTGGAGGTCTTGTCAGCTTCGGCATGTTTGAGGTATGAAAAAGGCGGTATGAGCATGCATGAATTGGCACTTTGCTCCCATTACACTTGTGTACTGCTTCTAGAATGTCACCTCCTACAATGCTTACGAATTAATGGCATTTGTTTTGATGGGCATCATTGGAGGCCTACTTGGTGCACTTTTTGTGGCCTTCAACAGGGTTCTCTCGAAATATAGACAGTCGTAAGTATTTGTCTTATCGCTGGTCATAACCCATTTTTAATATTTTAATTTTTCATTTTTTTTGCAATTTTCTAGATTTCTGTAGGATTTGCTTTACTGCTTTGTACTGATATTTGCCACAATTATAGTTGAAATTCTGTGACCATATTTTCTAATATTAAATATTTTTGGTCGCCTATAGTCTTGTATCATCAAATTGCGAATGTCCATTTCCCAAAGAAATTTTAATGTTACCTTTTGTATTTTAGTAGACTGTTTATTTCACCTAGTCGCTGCCGTTGCTTTGATTTTAACGTCTAAGCACGGATCTAATTAATGAACCGAAAATGTCTCAAAAGTTGACTACGCCCCTTTTGTCTTTCCTTTTTAGCTATTTGAAAACACGATCAGCTAAAATTACTGACGCTGTATTAATCAGTTTTTTCACAACCGTTTTGAGTTTCGCTATCCTCGTTCTCAGGTCGGATTGCCGTTCACTGTTCCAGAAAGACACAGATGAATTTCGCCAAGTTTGTTTATTCTTCCTTTTGGTTTTACTCCTATCAGATTCTCATTCTACTTGTTTCTCTCAAAGGTAGTGTGTCCAAATGGTGAATACAACCGTGTTGGTGCTCTTCTCTTTACCACACCGGCTAGAGCTTTGAATGCCCTATTTCACGACCCACCTCGGTCCTTCAACGATGATACACTTTTCATCTTTGCCCCGTACACCTTTTTTATCGCTTGTATCACTTATGGTTTAAGTGTCCCCTGTGGTCTCTTCATTCCATCCCTTCTTCTCGGGGCTGCATGGGGGCGTGTCACAGGTGAGTGCTCTTCACTCGCCAACTTTTTTTCCTAACTGGCCTCTCACGGGAATCCCTATTTCTTTATCTAGCTCAGTATGACTGATAATTCCACCATTTCACCTAATAAATCTGACTCCAGTTTATTTTTGTTTCAATTTTTGAACCTGTAAGTTATCTATCGACTCTTGATTTATTTGAATCCTCGACGTGCTTTTGCTGACTTTTCAGGTGAATTACTTTATGGCTTTTCACCACAAAACTTTCCCGACCCGAGCAAATTCGCGCTAATCGGGGCAGCCGCTCAACTAGGTGGCATTGTGCGCATGATCGCTAGTCTCACGGTTGTTCTTATGGAGGCCACGGGGAACGTTATTCTCGGTTTACCCGTCCTCATTACTCTCATTCCTGCCAAATACATTGGTGATTATTTTACTGAGGTGCGTTTCGTTTCCAGTCTCTACCCGCATTGGTGGGTGGACTAACGAACTGATCCCATAAACACGTTTGTGCCAACGATAATACAAGCTCATTTTAAACTAATTCTAAACATTCGCTACTCAGGGGATCTACGATATGCATATCAATCTTAGTGGAATGGCACTTGTGCCATGGGAGGCTAACACTCGGTGCGTTCAGCTGCGTGCTCTGGATGTTATGACCTCGCCAGTGGTGGTTCTCGATACCGTGATGCCGGTTCGGGAGATGTATCAGTTGGTCTTCGATAATCCTCATCACGCATTCCCTGTGGTCGAAGGCTACCGAGATCCTGATCATTTCAATTACGGACGACTCGTCGGCATGATATCTGCTCAACATATCGCTCTCATGATCAAAAAGAAGGTGTGTTTTTATCCCTAGTTTCATTGACGCTCACATCGCCGACAGCGGCGTGGGCAGTAACGTCACCCAATCCGCTCTCATGACTTCTATGTGTATCTATCATCATCACACAATCTGAAAGTGATGCCTTTTAATTCACAGTCGTCTTCAGTTGAATAGTCGGTTTCGGCTCTGAATCAGTCGGCTGGCATTCTATGCACTGCATCAGTTTTCTCAGTTGTCAACCTTTCGATGCCTATACTTGACAATTATTTGTTGTGACACGGCTTATTTGCCGCATTTAGGTGCACTCCTTTATTGAGTCATTTTGCGTGTATTTTCATATATTTTTACGTACTCAAATGCTTCAAAACTCAGTTTTGCAAAAATTAGTTTACTAAACCTATTCTGATCTCAGGATAGTAAGCTGTTTTTTGCAAAAACATTCTGTTTTCATCATTCGTTACATAGCTTGGATAACTGAACTACAACGCCTACACTTTACTATGTGAATAAGAAAATGTCTTTATCTGATTAGAACTGAAATGAAAAAATCTAGTCTGTTTTCAAGCCTTCAGGAGTGTTTATTTGCAGATTATTTCTATAACTTTGAGGTATTTCAGACAAGTATTTGTGTGGACAGTTCTCTCTTGATAGAAGTTGTGCTAATTATCTCCCTACCTCAAGAAATCTTATTCAGTCCTCATTGTTTTTATGTGGTCTAGGTATACAACCCTTTGGATGGGCAGGATACACCAAGGCTGACAGCAAATGACTTCGACGATGCCTATCCACGTTTTTACAAACTGAAGGTATGAAAACATAGATTTATAGGAGTCTCTACTTTTGATTTATCTGTTTCTTTCACGTTCCTGCTTTTGTTCCATCATTTTTTCAGAACGTTTTGTTGAATGTTTCGGACGACGAGTTTGAACGTTCTCTCGACTTCCGACCCTACATGAACCACGCGCCTTATAGCGTATCTGTAGTAGGTCAGATTAATTTGTCGTGGCAAAAGTTGAATTTCAGAGCCTTTACTTGGAATCAAACATTCCTTCCATGCTTAAGTAGGCGGCGACTTGCTTTGTTGGGACATTCTTATGCGTGCTTCCTAAGGAATGTGATCACACTGTAAAGGGTTGTTGGGCTGTTAGCGAGAATATTTGTCCCTTGATAGTGGCTAGGTCTGGGGGTATATGTTCCTTCTAATCTTTAGCCCAGACTCGCCTGATGTTTAAATTCACCGAATCGACTTATAAATTATGTTCAGTGTATAACTGAAGTAGTATTCCACCCACTCGGAACGTTAAAAGGTCTTTATGTTATTGTACAATATCACTTTATTTATCTGTTCTTTCATTAAAGGTGTTGTTAAATTGCTTCTGTCTGTTTCAGCAGACCTTTTTAAGTAACTTGAAGTATTTTTGGGGGGTTCAAACCGTGTTTCGTTACAAGTGCACGGCTCACTTTCAGAATCACTTACGTCAGGTTTTAAAGTGGCTCGCATTCACCGCTAACTGTAGCGTTAAAACATTTTCTACTATTTTCGAATATTTCTACAAGTTCAACAACTAAAGGTTCAAAATTTGCTTGTACGCATATACTCTCCACGTAATCGCCCGCAGATTTACCACAGTTAAGAATCGCAATCAAAAATAGGGAATTTAGCGACTATCATCATGTGCTTGTCCATTATTTCGATGTCAGCATGTTTGTCCACCTAGCTACTGGTTTTCCCAAATTCAAATTACCAAACAATCCACTTTTGATCATTCAGAACCTCAGCTAATAGTTGTAGTTCTCTTATTTTTTGCCCCCATCACTCGTTGCCCGGTTTGTCTTCCTCTTTGGTAGTGAAATCACTTCTTCGTTAAATTGCATTCCTCAATAGAGATTCCTACCGTTGCATGTCCGGTTACTTTGAACAAATGCTCACGTCTGGTGTCTGCAATGCCTAAAACCGTCCCGATGTTTTGAAGATTTTTCAATCCACTTCTTTACTCCGATTGGTTTCAAAATGAAAAACTCCTCAAAGTTAGAGCCCTTTTACCTTTACTTGAAACTTGCTTCAACCATTCTTTAAAAGGTAATTACTCCTATACCATTCCCTTTTTTCTCGCAACTATTAGGACATGTCCATGACTCGAGTGTTCGCCTTATTCCGCCGTTTGGGCTTACGACATTTGCCCGTTGTTGACAATTTCAATCAGGTCAGAAGAGTCTTTTTTGTGGATTTTGTGCCTTATTGGTTCTGTTTTCTAATTAACGAAACTCATTCTGATGATTGTAGCATTATCATTTTAAACTATACTCCCTCTGTACTTCTACTTCTGCATCAGGTCCGGGGGATGATCACGCGCAAAGACCTTTGCCGATTTCGTTTCGCACCAGCTGGTAAAGTAGCCGAACGACTATTTTCCCGCATTTACTAGAATTTTTACACACACGTGTGCTTCTCAACGCTTTTAAATTGAATGACATCTTGCGTAACTTTAATAAACCTATATTTGTATCGTTGGCCTTTAAGCTTGATGGTGGTATGGGTCAAATAAAATAATTTATGCTGAACAGTTTGGAACGGAAGTGGGTAGAAGAGAAGGTTATCAAATTATTCACGCATCGTTACACATTAGCGTTATCTCGATTGCACTTTTAATGCGCCTCATTTCAGAGGTTCCAGCTGAAAGTGATCGGGGATCAGGTGGGGTTTTACCTTTGGGGGGCAATAATAGGGACTGATCGGAAAAATGCGGTGCCCAAAGTGCCCGTTATTTTATCTGCGAGATTTAGTACTTTGCAGGGTTGGATGGGTGGCGAAGCGCGTAATTGCGGTTGTTAGGAATGGGCCTCGTAATGACTACACGCTCTACCTTATGAAAAGAAGCAGAAAGTTTGGTGTGAGGTAGGAATTCGTGAAATTAATGATGTTATACAGGAATCGATTGATGGATAGATAGGAGAATAAATAAATCTCATTTACGAGGTATCTTGGGAGAAGTAGCTTGTTATTGTGTTTTACTTGCCTCATTTAAGTTATCGTTTTTCGCGTGCACGACAGGTTTATTTATAAACAATGTGCAAAAGCACTTTTGTAATAATTTGCAGTTCTATTTACTCCGAAAATGTGTAAAGTGTTTAACCAGACCGGTTGATAGGGGATACCACTACCAGTCAATGATAGCGAAGGCCGACGCGATGGATTGACTTGTACTTAAGGAAGGCGTAGGTTAATTACGGATAATAAACTTGGACTTTTCAAGGCGATTTAACCTGATTTAGTGAAGCACTGGAATTAATCTTCGTAATATTTGTCCTGATCATAAGAGAGAACTCACATTCTTTGCCAAATTATATTTTGACACATCGGTTGAATCTTTTCTTAGACGATGCATAAACGTAGCGATGGTCCTTTTCCCAGTTGGAGCTGTTAGCCGTATCTAAAATAAGGCAGAATTTATTTTCAGCTTTCAGTTAAAGTATAAGGAGTAGAGTAGAGAAGAGAAGACATTCTGCCAGACGTAGATGTTTCAAACAGGTGAAACCCGGTCTAGTTTCAGATGGTTTGATTTTTGGGAAATCTCTTTGTGTGATAGCATTGTTTAGTGTTATTCACTTTATGTCGAAATACTTTAAGTTCCTTTTATTCTCAAACAAGATCTCTGTCGGCCAATACAACCCATAATAATTCGCCTAAGGAGGTGAATAGGGCAAAATTCGACGGATTATGGGAGCTACTGATGGCCATTTATATGGGACCTTTGGATAGTCTATTCTGCATGCAACGGTCTGATGGTATCGCGAATTTTTAGCATTGCCACATGGGCCAAATAATCTACAATTTCAATGTCTAAAAAAGGCCGCCAAATCAAGATAACTTAAAAAGAGTCATTCCGAATTCATTGCCATGGTGGCAGTCGGAGTAGAATTATTCAACATCAGACTATAAAGGATAAATAGAAGGAATCTAAAAACCCCATTTCCCCTTTCCACATACAAACTAAAATGAATGATTTACAAAAGGGAGCTCTCTTTGTGAGTCTCACGTGAGATATCAGGATGACTGGGCTCAATTTTGCTGGCTTACCAACGAAACGCCTGCAAAGTGGATTCAAGATTGAGACTAAACACAACTTGCTGAAAGCTGCATATGCATATTAATTGTAAAAAAAATAAATATCAACAGATTCATGTGATTTCTCTGCAAGAGATGCAACTACCTTTTAAGCGGGAGAGGATCAGTGGATACTAGACAGGATTCCTAAGTTTCTTGAAATTGTAGGACTCCGTCATTTTAAACTACCTTTTTATTACTTGGTATTAAATGACCAGCTTCTCTGATTTTTACCTCTTAATGGCAGCACTTATCCTACTTCTTAAAGCCTTTTTTGAAATATGCCAAACCCACTTCTGTACCATCCACAGTAACCGAGACATTGAATTGGTGTATGGGTCGCCTTGTCATGTGGTATTCTCTTTTAGCACACACTTTTCCTCACAGGAGATTTGTTAAAACCAAAAGGTGGCCATTTACATGAAATAATGTCTTTGAGGAAAGTTCTCGTTTGGTGAATAGAAAATTAATAAATTTTGAACTAGTGTCTTGTCCTTTTGGACTAAGCACTTCGAATCTTCATTCCTAAGGATGTGCAGTGGTCAAGCGACTGAGAGCTTACTATTCTAAGTCCCAATGAAATGTTTTAAACAAATAGACATATTTGGGTAAAAATTAACAGACTACACTTATTAATAATACTTTGACATGATTTATTTTGGCTTTTACATGATGAACTAATATTTTTATTAGGTCTTGTCAAGTGTTAGCCTGTCTCCGTCTTCCAGCGCGCAACCTGTGCTGTCAGTCGTGTTTTTATTCACGGAAGAGTTCCAAGAATATAGTAGGAAAAGGAAGTCTTCAAAAGAAAGTAAAAATGCATTTAATACATTATCTAACTTTTGTTTTGCCTACCGTGGCATCCCATTTTTCAGGTAGTATGCCTTCATTTGGGCCAGATATCTCTGTATTTCTTCTCGTGTGAGCGATGTCTTTTCCGAGGATAGAACGGCATCGTTAATGTCATTAAAATCTTCACCGGATTCCAAAGTTCCCAAGTCGTCGGCTAAATCCCATCCACTTGTCTGAGGCTCCCGTTTCTGCGCAGCGCTGGGGCCTACAGACTTGACCCACTCGCGGTATTGGAGGGGAAAGGCATCAAACGAATGCCTAATTCTTCCCAACTCACCCTGTACACTGTGAATTTGGAAGGAGACGAGAAACATACACAGCAGACAGACATGGAAAGTGGAGGAGGCCCTCATGACGGGGTGAATTCCTCGTCTCCTATTTTCGCTGCCGTAGAAGCTTATTATGGCGCTGCGGTTGAGCATTTCACGGTGTTTAGTGGGCAAAACTCAGTGCTACGAGGGCACAATAGTCAAGGTCTTTTAAGGCCGACATGGGTGGGGGAGTATTTATATACATTTAGCCCAACTCGCCTCTTATTGGCTAACACGAGTCCACAGGTTATGGGGCGGCAATTGGCTTGAACAGGTGTCAATTCATTTTGTCCGAAATCCCTACCAAACAAATTATTTTCGGCGGTTCATCAACTAGTTTGACGATTTCCATAGGGGAATATTTGTCAGAGAGATCCCTGAATCATCTTAGAGATTATGGAATACGCAATGGTGGAATTCTTCCTTAAAGATACATGTTCTATAATGAACTGGTCTTACAAAAGCTGTTATTTACTTTTCATAATAAATGCGTAAAAAAATAAGACGTGAAGTCTCTTAAAATGGTCATTAGCTGTTGCCTTAAGCAAAAAACAAACAGTTATTTGTTCTTACTGATTGGACTCTGACAAAATTGCGCAAATTTAAATATGTGGAAATTTAACCACAATTAAGCTACCCCAGTAGTTTTAATTTCCTTCTGCGGCACCTTACAGTTGCTTCAAAAACAAAAAACCTTCGTGCTTTCCTTCCTCAACGATTCATCACGAGATTGCTTCTCGGTTCCTACATGTAAGCTCTTCGAAGCATTATTTCTTAGACTAAATATGTACAAGTGTCTCATCCGCAGAACAGGCGCCCTTAGTGTTTTCTTTCAAAAAGTGTATAAGATCTGCTGTGTCACGCAATCAAGCCTCGACACAGCGGAACTGACTACTAAATTACACCGTTATCACGATAAAAGTTTGCATTAAGTAAATTAAGGAATATTGCAACGCCTTGAGGCCTTCCTGATGATGAATACATGTTGTCGATGTAAAGAATAATCAGAATGGGAGGGGGAGGGGCAGTTGGCATGGCTTGGAGGTCATTCCACCCAGCGGGAGTACAGAGGTGGAGCCTCAGATGCCCTCGAAATCAAAACAAAGAGCTACGCAAATAAAATATCAATATGTTGGGACATTTTTTTCATTTCTACATCTTTTTCGACCAAAAAAATCAACATCCTCGAACACTTTAAAACCATGATGAAATTACATGGAGTGCATGGACTACTAACAACCAAAAGGTCAGTTGAAATAAAAAGTAAATTGTTGTATGCATCATTTGTAGCAGTCGTTTCTACTTTTTGTCAGTACTACCAGACCGGCACATTTGACGACCCACCATTCTTTTTTACCATGCTCAAGATGCTGCCTCCATTAAACTTGGCAATGCTTCCATCGAAACCACCATGAAAGCACTTTGTAACAATTTTTAAGGCAAAAAACTTTCCCGTCTCCAACACAGCCTAATTCGCAACACCTAAATGTAACTATACCTTCCAAAGTTTTATTCATTTATAAGCACTTGTTGGGATAGGAGAGAAGTTAATACACCTTCAAGCAGATTTTAAAAAGTAGTGAGATTAAGTTGTTAGCCAAACAGAGAAGTCAACTAATTCAGTCATTCGACTATGCTTGATGGACGTTAGGGCTGATTACACTTTATTTACAAGCCAAAAAGCCACGCGAGAGAGCGATTTTACTGAGATCGCGGTTTTGGATTTTCCCTTGTTCACCACTTTTTTTTGGCTTTAGAGTGGTGCAATAAAACTAATCATTTATTTAGATGGGAGACTGTCATGCTCTCCTCTCAGCCTCTAGGTAGAGGTAACTTGCTTTTTAGGTGTCACGGGGTTTGCAGACAAAACCACTTAACTTAATTGTGTCAAGTCCTGGTGTATGCTCATTAATTACGACCCTTTGGATTGCTTTCCCTGCGGTCTTATAAATGGACTGGCAAAAATAAAAAGATACGAGTATGTGGAGAAGTCTAAACGTTAATCATTGCAAAAAACTGATCAAACAAACTAACTCTCATTGAAATAATAGTGTATCTGCAGTTTCAGTTCTTTAAAATAAAGTCTATGATGCACGCTAATTTTTCTGCCATGAACAGTGATTACTGGCATTGCGGATACTTATTTTAGAACTGCTGAAGATCACAACAGGAGTTAAGTCAACGTTCCAATCACTGTGCATGAATTTCCTCGTTTTCTTTTTCACGTGGCTCTATTCAACACCAATTCCCACATTGTCCTAATGTTTTGCCTTCTCAGCGAAAATCAAACCCACCTTAAAGGACTCATCTATCCTCATTTATGCTGCCGGGTGATAGACCTTAGCGTGGCAGGAGAGAAGGACATGTGCTGCTGACTGGAGAAGTTGGGACGACCTTTAACAGAAGGGCTAGAAATGACGTCCACCTTCGGCAACTGCCACAGTCCAGTGTTCTACACAAAAATGTTATCAGCAACGGAAGTGACATTTGTGTCACGGCACCTGTATGAAGATGTCAATGAAGTGAATACGCAAATACCTCCACTTCTCTACTAGCTGAATAGAGACCTGAAAGGTATGGCTGGGCAGTGCTGACGTCGGAAAGTAGTGGTAAGGAGGAATGGACGGCCGGCCTTTACTGATATGACTCTGCTTTTAGGCCAATGTTCTTGCGGCTAGCGACGGACATGCGTGATGGCCTGAACGCTATCTCATCCCCCCAACACAGTTCCTATACGGGACGCAACTTCTGAGGGAGGGGTGACTTTCAGGTCAAGTATATTCTCAGTCGCTTCGAAATTCGATAGCTGGCACGATTGGCTTGTGGGTGTTATTCTTACAGCACCGACTTCATTGCAATGGTAGACGAGGGTGGTTGATCGAGGGGACCGACAGGGACGAAGCTCAAAATTAGAAGGGGTCTATGCAATACTTTAAATATTTGTTCAACTCTTCATTCCTATTTAGTGGACTCCTGTGCACGCGCTGGGCGGCATGGGCTGCAGTACACGCGGGTAGCCCCATGCCCTACTTTTTGTTGAAACCACAAATTCTGCCCAAGTAATGCCTGCTTTCATCTTCAAAGCCATGTCGAGGCGCTACAGTGGCCACGGTGAATCCAAGAGGTGAATAGCCTATTATTTTGGAACAAATTAGATATCATTTTGATTCTTTGTTTCGACTCAAAGTGGTAATTAAACGTAAACTTTGCTAAAATCTTCATGCAGTTTGCGATTGAAACTTATAGTAATAAAAACCCACGTTTCAACATTCTGGATGTGTATTACAGACCTACTTATATTAACCCTTATGTTTGCAATGA